GTAACACAGTGAGTGTAACAGCTGGACTTAGCTATCAGAGCAGAAGGGAAGGGGTGGAGTATTAGAATGCCCACACTTAGAGGAGGGGCCTCAAAGCCGAGACTCAGACTTGTGAGGCCAGAGTATGCTGCCCAGCTGGTGTTGGTACTCCTGAGAGATGCAAAGAGGCTGGGGAAATGATTGGTTCACTCCCTCTGTTTCTCTTCTCTCAGGCATCACTGTTCTTTTTGCCCGATGTTCTGTATTGAAAACATTTTTTTTCAGACAATTTGTCCATTTTGTTGTTGTTGTTTTTGTTGTTGTTGTTGTTTTTGTTTCAGGTGGAAGGGTAAATCTGGTCCCTGCTACTCCATCTTGGTCAGAAGGGGAAATTGCTGGGGCTTTTATACATAAATTAGCTACTTTAGGGGGATTGCTTTTACTGGTTCTATCTTATGTTTAGTTTCACAGTGGACTTAGAGAATTGGGTCACTGTTTTGACATAGTTCAGGTATAACATCAAGTAATGACATGCTTCTTTCTAATTTCTCACACCCCAAAGTTTTAAGTCATTCTTATCTCTCTCCTGCTTTCAAATCCAAACCATAAATGAATTCTGTTCTGTTCAAATTTTGTCAGCTCAAGTCATGTTGAGAGAGCTGGAAAGCACAGCAGTGGCCTAAAATTAATCTTTTTAATAACTGCAAGGTTGACTTTGCTGAAAATGAGATGCCAAATTTGTGTTGGGTAGAGTTACAGTGTAAGCTGAATTTACAGCTTCACTCAGTTTCTCAATTGAACCCCAGGATCACTCTAAACCTCTCTTGCCTTTGGAAGAAACCTATCTTTCAGTGTCCAAAACCACTAACCTTCCTTTGTGTGAAGGCCTTATCTGGACATTGCCTTGTAAGAGGGTGCCTTTCTTCTTAGGACCCACTATAAACAAACTCGGTTCCCACTAGACCCAATATTGGATAAGACCTCAGCATGTTCCAAGAGGACAAGAACGAGGTCACCTAAGTGGAAATTGCTTATTTTATAAAAGAATTTAAAGACGCTAATTTATATTGACAAAAATCCATGTAACATACATTGGAATGGATTCTCAGGATATTCAACCAAGGGGAATGAGCTATAGTACTTGATCAGTCCACTTTCATTCATATGAGTCAGTTTGCCAGAGATTCTTGTTTTAATTTAGTTTTACTTGTGCAGCTAAAATTTGACAATAATGATTTTCTTTTATGTGTATGATGGAGTCTTACTCCTGGGTAGACAGCCATGGCATCATAGTGCACAGCAACCTCAAGCCCAAGATTGGGATATCCATCTTGGGTTTAAGCATTCCTCTTGCCTCAGCCTCCTGAGTAGCTGGGACTCAGATGCTCACCATCACAACTGACTAATTTTTTTTTTCTTCTTCTATTTTTTTTTTAAACTAGAGACGGAGTCTTGCTTTTGCTCAGGTTTGTCTTGAACTCCTGAGCTCAAACAATCCACCTGGCTCAGCCTCCCAGAGTGCTGTGATTATAGGCATGAGCCCCTGCCCCTGGCTTCTAATGATTTTCTTGATAAGTTGACTGAAACCTGTGCTCAATAGTGGACCAATGTTTAATGAGATTGAGATGCTAGGATGTTTTGGCCTAATACAGAGGATAAAGTGGGGATGGCTAATGGATGCAAAAAAAATGTAGTTAGATAGGTAGAATGAAAAATATATGATAACACATCAAAGCTGCTATAGTACAAGTCATTGTATACTTTAAGATAACTAAAAGGGTGCAATTGGAATGTCTTAATCCAAAGAAATGATAAATGCTTGAGGCAATGGATATCCCAATTACCCTGATTTGGTTTTTATCCATTGTATCCTATACCAAGACATAACATGAACCTCATAAATATATACAACTGTTATATACCCATAATAATTAAAAATAAAAAAATGTAAAGTCTGAAATTTTAAAGAAATTAGGATTTTTGGAAGAGTTTATCATATCCTAGGCCCAGAAGATACTCCTTTCACTAAAGCACAAGAAAAAAGTGAGTGAGGGGAGTGCAATGTTCTTTAAAAGCTCTGGGATAGTTGTTTGTAGACTGGGTACCGTGGTGGGAGGTGCCACCATCACACAGGTCACGGTCTGGTTGTTTCTGCTTCTTAAATATCTGGCTCTAAAAGGTAATCTCTCTGATTAGGACATGGGAGTTTAGGTAGGGTGGATTTCTTTACACATTCAAGTTAATAGTTTTAACTATGCATTTATTTATCATGTTTATTATTACATAGAAAGACTCCAAAGAAACTCATAATCTCAATTCCTAGGGACGCATGCCAGTATCATGGCTGACAAACATAGACTTTGAAGACACAGAGACTTAGTTTTGAACTCTGGCCCTGGTACTGATTAGCTGAGGAAATTTAAGCTAAATATTTAACTTCTCCAAGTCTTTATACTTCTATAAGTATTTTACAAAGAAGATGAAGTTATGCATAGGAAGTTTAAACATAGTGTCTTTCTGGCACTTAGTAAGTAATCAAGAATCTGTTATTACATTTCCCATCTCAGGTTACTGTCACCAAATTATTCAAATAAAACATTATTTTCCCAAATGTATTTACCAGATAGGGAATATTCAATATTAACTCTACTGTTTCAACTAATTTATAGCTTTCGTAGGAAAGATATAACCTAATTATAGCCTTAGAATATGGGGAGGGGGGAGGGAAGGGGGATAGATGGGTGGAGGGAGGGTGATATAAAAAAATAATTTAAAAAAACTCTACTGTTTAAATAAATCTAAATATCCTCCATCAGTGGTATTTTTTAAATGACTATTCTAGTATAGTTTGGCCAAATCTGAATCAAAGAGTATCAATCAAAGAATGTAAATCAAAGAATGCTTAAGTAAAGTTTATGCCTCACTAGGAATAACTCCATATATCTTAATTATCTTGATGAATGATTATTGATTTGAACTGATTGTACAAGCGGCACCAAGGTTGCAACACAGAAGGATAGACTTTTCTAGGACAGGTGTTGTGAAAAGGAGTGGCAAGAGTGCCTCCAAGATTTTCCCACCCAGACTGGTGTCCTCTCTGTTGATGTGTCTGCCACCCTGTTGCTAGGTACTTCTATCCCAGGCAAGGCAATTATTCACCAAAAAAGTGGTTTTAGATCTTTCTCTCCGGGTAGAAACATCTATTTTATAACCTGTTGCTTATAAATTCCCAGAAATTAGTTTGCCCACGTGATACCTTTCCAATGTACCATTTCTTTACTGAGTTGATCAAGGGCAGAAACCATGACCTAGTTCTTTTATCTTCAGCTCTTGGGCAATGCCTAAATCTGAATCACAGTATCACTTTGGAGCAGCAATGTATGCTGTTCGATTTGGCTTACCTAGATTGTTGCCCAGTTCCATCCTATGATGGAACATACGCTTCCATCAACCACAGGGAATGACTTTCTGCTTTAATGATTCTCAGCTCGGTAAAGGAAGTGGGAAGAAGGTAGGCATGTTGTGTACCGCTCCTGAGAAATCTTTGGTTGCTGTTGTACTTTTCTAGATTTGTTGTTGTTCTGAGCACTCAGAGGTCCCTAGACTTCACCAGATTGTTGACAAATAAAATTGTATTAATGTCAATACCCAAGCATCATGTTCTTGTTCACACTTGGTCATGCAGAACACAAGCCCTTTCAAAGTCCCCCTGCTCCCAGGCCCTGCCTACCAGGGCTTCCTGAGAGTCACCAGAGATGTCCCTCCTGTGTCCTCCTGGTATCTCTTAACAATCACAAGACTTCTTGCACTGGCTCCTGTTACCTATGGGAGTGTCTCTATTACCATAGCAGGCAAAATACCCCAATACCAACACCAAAAGCACTGTTGGCCAAAGCTCCTTAGCCACCCAGCCTGGAGGTGGCAGAGCAGTGCTGGGCTCCTTTATGATGGGCAGATTGTTTGTTTCCTATCTCTACAGCAAACTGTTACTAGGCCTGCAGCCAAGGTGCTCACATTCACAGTCTCACATGGGGTCTCCGAGAAATGTGCTCCTTCAGCTTATGCCTGGAATCGTCTCTCTGTCAGTTCAGGAAGCCCAGTGGACAGATATTTTTCTATGCCTTGCATTGTGTTCTTTATCTGTTCAGTAAAAATAAACAAGCATTTCTTTCACGTCTACCAGAATACTATGACCCTCTGTATATCAATTTAGACAAATAAGCAACCACAGGCCACAAGTTCAAATGGCCAAACTCTGTACCCTCATCTGGACTATGCTGTAGCATCTTGACACCTGTTTTGAGACTAAGAGAAGCTTATTTAGTCATTAGTTTGACTAAATAAGTTTTAGTTTCACTTGGTTGATAATTGCATACTGTGAAAGTGTCTCTACCTAACAGCTTCAATCTAAATTCACTTTGTTATGGTTGTGAGGTTAATATTAATAATTGGGAAATGTAGATTTTGGTTTCAGTTCTTTCTGAAACCATTTGGGTAATAGCGAAGTGTACAGTTAATTGACATGGGCCTGCTCTTCCATTCACAAAATAACGTGGCCAAGTCCACACGCCTTCTACAATCCCTCCCAGGGCTAATACTGCCTGACATTTGGTGCTAAGGAAACAGAACATTCTTCTCTGAGGTGGCTTTCAGTGGTAATGGTAGTGATTATGAGGTTATATAATAATGGTTAGCTGTTATATTAGAGTGTTAGCTATTGCCTTTGGTTCTAAACATGTTTCTTATCCTTTTGCATACAGTTGAGGTTGTAATCTATAAGATACACTATGTGTCCTAACTAGTTTATCAAAAAATTAATATTCTTTTCCCAATATCATACTGATCGTGTTGAATTTAGAAGACAGGTGAACTGCATAATGAAATGTTTGAATACCCCAACCCTGCATTGGCAGGCCACCCTGTTTCTTCTAGCTGCCAGGGCAAAGGTTCTCTATAATTTAGGCATCTTTAACAAAGCCAACAAACTTGTCGATGCCCATGCAAAGCATATGAACAAGTCATAACATTTTACTTTGCAGTTTTATTTAAACCACCTCAGTAGTTTGGATCATAGCCTGAGGAAGCTTAAGGGTTTGGGGCTGTGTTTTCTGGGACTCTCTCGTATGTCCGTGTGCAGATAACGTCATTCACAGCACTTTCCTAGAAGACAAAAGAAGGATGAACTATTTCAGTACTGTTAGTGAAATGAACTTTTAGACAAATGCAAACTAAGTAGTATCCATACATATATTCCTTAAAAGTCTTGGAAAGAGATCTGTATAGACTATACGAAGGACCTATTCGGCAGCTGATTTTGCTGCATTATATATAATATATATGGAAAATCACACACATATAGCACATATGGTAAATGTGTAGGGAATATATAATGTGTATGCGTGTGTGTGAGTGTGCATACATATATATGAAGAAAGCAAGGAGTACAGTTTGGAATTTGATTTTATTAAAATATTTTAAATGCCAACATTCAAGCATGTATTATTTCATGTACTCTACATGTTTCAAATAAGCATACTAACTTACAGTGATGTCGTATTTTACAGTTTTCAAAGCACTGATACGTACACACATTTAATTCTCTTACAAAATGTCTCATGAAGACACTGTCTACATCTTGAAGGCCAGGAATCTGAATTTTGGAGAAGATAAATAAACGACTTGTCCAAAGTCAAAAAAGCACTGACTGGCAGAGATGGAAATCCCCAGCCTTAGATTCTCAGTCTAGTGTTCCTCCTAACGAACTATACAGCATGGTTATTGCCTGTGTCATTATAAACAGCAATAACATCAGTCATCCTGAGTCTTCCCTTCTGACTTCATAAGAAATAAAATGTACTCTTCTCACAAAAAGAAAAATATATCCCTGTATTAAGAAATAAGGTTAAATATTTTTAAGCCTGTATATGAATCTTGCATATTCCCTTGGAACTATTATTTTATATTATGTCAAAAAATCGCTTTTTTATTCCTTTTGGTGTAGGCGGGGGTTTAGAAGGAGAATAATCATTGGCACACATCCTTCCCCTCTGTAGAAGCGGGAAAGATGTAGGAAGCCAATCTGAGAGGGAACAGGATGGATTCCAGAGAGTATCAAGTTTAGAATTAAGCCAACTGGATTTTAGTCCCCAAACCACTATATTTTTCCAGCTATATATCCTTAAATAAGTCAGCATCTGAATCTCAGGATCATTACCTGTCAGATGGGCTAATATTACCTCACAGGATTATTGAGAGGACTGGGCAACTAATATATGAAAACTTAGGGACGTGGCTGGGCCTGGTGGCTCACACTTGTAATTTTAGCACTCTAGGAGGCTGAGACAAGTGGATTACCTGAGCTCACAGGTTCGAGACCAGCCTGAGCCAGAGCAAGACCTCATCTCTAAAAATAGCCAGGCGTTGTGGTGGGCACCTGTAGTCCCAGCTACTCAAGAGGCTGAGGCAAGAGAATCACTTAAGTCCAAGAGTTTCAGGTCGCTATGAGCTATTGTGCCACAGCACTCTACCAAGAGCAACAAATAAAACTCTGTCTCAAAAAACAAAACAAACAAACAAACAAAAAAAAACCGAGGGACGTGATAATAACTTAAAGAGTAGTATTAGTTCTTACTTTACTTGTGTTAACTCATTCATAGACCAAAAAGATACCTTTCCAATTTCATGCCCCTGATTAAAATTCCTTTTCATTTGATATTGAGTGGAAAGAGCAGTGAGATATGAATCCTGGAAGGGAGCAGAGGGTTGGCAACAACCCTCAATTCCTGCCAATGTCTTTATTGCACAAGTACATGCTTGCATTGGTTTACCTGTGAGACAAAGGATCGGATTTTTAATAATTCTCTTTCATCTTGTGCTTCTTCAACCCATGCACATTTTATGATACGAAAGATTATGCATTTATCTGATAACATTGTTTCTCATTCTTATAAAGTAAGAGAAAAAGAAAAATGGCATTCATCACTGTTTTAGAACAAGTTATTTGAGTGATTTATTTTTTAATCAGGCGTTGCAATAGATGAGAAAAATAGTGAAAACCAGCTCACTCACCACCACCATTTTTCCATCCACCAGTTTCCTTCTTATGGTGGCTTCCTTGCCATCCCAGTCCTGAACTTGAACCAAAGAGTCATTATCTAAGATCACTTTGCTCTGAAAAATAGCCAAAACAGGATTCAGATCAGGTTGTCATACCTGAACACCAAAATTTCATCAGGTGCTAAATTTTTTTTTAGCTGTTGTGATGTTCTCAGATAGTTTTTGAATGTGTTTACAAGGCCGTTTATTTTCAAGACTTTGTTAATAGTAAATTCATCAGCTAATTCTACTGGGGAAAAAAAGTTTGGCAAGAGTAAAAACATAGTATCTTGAAGAGTAAGTGATATTTTCTTTTTATTTTTTACTACAGAGGTGGAGTGCCATCTTTTTGAGTAAAGAATCATAAGTAAACTTCCATTTCAGAAATACATCCTTCTCTTTGTACCCCAACAATATTTTCCAGTTTTTTTCATTCTAGTAATTGTTTTTTAAATTTAGCACAGACATCTTTATTAAACATTTTCTATCAAAATTTTTCTTCCATTTTATATGGTACAGGAATTTAAAGTATCATGTTCTTTTAGTAAATGTCATGAAAGTCCCATTTATTAGGCTATTACTCTCCATATAGCCAAGCAATCCTCAAATTCACTTGTTCAAACAAACAATATTGAACAACCGTCATGACCAAGTACTGGGTTCTGTGAGACAGGAAATCCTGTCTTTGAGAAACTTACATTCTGGTGCAGGGAAATAGACAACAAATTAGAAACATGTGGGTAAATTTTGTATTTTAAATAAAGAACGTATTTCAGTTGGAGCCCATGAAATACAAATAAATCTCTGTGTGTCACTTTGAGGTAGAAGCAATAAAAAGGCCAGTGTCCCTTTCCCTAGCTGGTTGACTGAAAAGCCCCAAATTTCCAGATGGTGCATCTACAAGGTAATGAAACTTCATCTGGCCTGGATCCCTGAGAGATGAAGAGTGGCAGACACCCTATCCACCCCAACTCATTCACACAAACATCCCCAGCCCTACCCCAATGTGGAGAACGTGAGTTGGGGATGTTTGTATGAATGGATGTTTGTGTGCACGTTATATATGGACTGAGACAGAGATAAGTCCCTGAGGCACTGAGACCTTGTGATTTCATTTGTCACAGTGGCCTAACTGCCTATAGCAGCTAGCAAGTCTAATGCATCCCAATTCTGTGGATGGAAAACTGCTACAAAATGGAAAGAGAGAAGTTTTGTTTCTGGGAAAAATAAATATTAAGCTAAGGAAATGATTCTTAAAATGTGGTCTGGTGAGCATTGCATGAAATTCATTAAAAATGCGATTTCAGGTGTTTACCCCAGACATCAGAGCCACCGGGGATAGGAGGAGATGGTAGGTATTTTTCAGCTATCCCAGGAGATTGGTATATTATTAACATTTAGCATCTTCAGAATTAGGTTTTACCGAAAAGCTTCCCATAAAGACTTTAAATGTGATCTCTATAATTGCCTGCTTACTTTGGTTGATTTCTTACTAATACACATATTCTTATAAAATTTAACTGACTAGATATTGTAGGCCTCACCTTGGTTTTACGGCCGCTTGGTGTGGTTTCCTCAAACTCTTCTCCCAGTTTAAAGGAGATCTTATTATTTTTAAAGATGCTTTTGGTTTTTATGGTGATCACTTCTCCATTTGTACTGATGGTCACTCTTGGTTTGGCCAGACAGCCCAGTTTCCTGCTAGCTCTTCCGATTCCTGGAAACCAGGTAAAAGGACAGATACTTAAATTCATTGTTAGCTTCAAGAATGCACATTATCTGCATAATCTCTGCTAACCAGGTTTGTGTGTGGACAAGATTTAATGCTTCATGAATTCATATATCTAAAGCCAGTAGTTCTACCATTGTAGGTTAAAAATAGAGTATTTTTTTGTATCAGTCTCTAGTTGTTAAGTGATTGATCTGTTTCTCTAGTCCAGTGGTTAGGAATCTTGTTGATTTACAGACCGCTTTGAAAATCTGATTGAAACTGTGGACCTATTTCTCTATTTAAATTCATATTAATTCACAAACAACCAAAATACTTTCGTATGTATTCTTCCAGATCTTTAGCTCTTTACTTACGTTCTTATATGTACACAAACACAAGAGTTTGTTTCTCTATTATTATTCTCTTCAATGTCTTTTTATTACATTAAAAACATACTGCAATATATAACATAAAATTCCCATTTCAACCATTTTAAGTGTACAATCCAATGACCTTAAATATGTCACAGTGCTGTGCCATCATCACCACCATATATAAGACTTTAAAAAATATAAATATTGTATCTATTGTTATTCTACTTGCTTTTTCCTTGTATCTGTATGTCTCAAAGATTTCCCATGTCAGGATATATAGATATATTTATTTGTAGCTATATGATATTCCATAGTGTGTATATACAAAAATTGATTTTATCTATCTCACTATTCATGAGCAATTAATTTGCTTCTATTTTTGTTATTATAAATAATTCTGCAGTGAACTTCCTGGCATACATAGCTTTGTGTATCACATGTAGGAGTATTTTCAACAGAAATGGCACTACATACACAGCAATACCTAAATTAAATTTCTAAGAGAAGATGTATTGGAGAAATACTATATATGTGGTTCATGGAATTGAAATTGTAAAATATAACCACGAGATGTGACAACCTGGATAACAGTTCCTCAAAATATTAATATCCTAATCTCTGAATTTTATAAACGTTACCTTACATGCCAAAGGTGACTTTGCAGATGTAGTTAATTTAAGGATGTTGAGATGGGGCAATTATCCTGGATTATCAGAGTCGACCATAAATATAATCAAAAATTTCTTTTCTTTCTTTCTTTTCTTTCTTTCTCTCTCTCTTTCTTTCTTAGACAAAACCTCATTTTGTCACCCTTGGTAGAGTACTGTGGCATCATAGCTCACAGCAACCTCCAACTCTTGGGCTCAAGAGATCCTCTTGCCTCAGTCTCCCAATAGCTGGGGCTATTGGAACCTGCCAAAATGCTAAGCTATTTTTAGACATGGGATCTTTTTCTTGCTCAGACTGGTCTCGAACTCCTAAGCTCAAGCAATTCACTGGCCTCAGCCTCCCAGAGTGCTGGGATTACAGAAGTGAGCCACTGCTCCCAGCCCACAAATTTCTTTATAATTGGGAAGAAGAGGGTCAGGTTTGGTAGCTCATGCCTATAATCCTAGCACTCTAGGAGGCCAAGGTGGAAGGATTACTTGAGCTCATGAGTTCAGGTTTGAGATGAGCCTGAGTACGAGAAAGACACCATCTATATTAGAAATAGAAAAATTAGCTGGGCACCTGTGGCAGCTGCCAGAGAGCTACTAGAGAGACTGAGGCAAGAGGGTCACTTGAGCCCAGGAGTTTGAGGGTGCTGTCAGCTAGGCTCATGCCACCACACTCTAGCCTGGGCAACAGCAAAAGAGTGAGACTCTGACTAATAAGAAGCATAACAACAATAATAATAATACATTTTTTTAAAAAAGAGGCAAAGAAGAGTGGTGTTAGACCACAGAAGAAAAGGCAGTGTGAAATGGAAGCAAAGACTGGGGTATTGCAGCCACATGCTAAGGAATGCCAGAGCCACCAGAAGCTGGAAAACAAGACCTATTCTGAAGACGCCCAAAGACTAAAGCAAATGTTGGTAAAATATCCTTGTTTTTAATAATTATGTCTTTTTGTTTTAAATCATTTGTTAAATCATTTGCTGTGTAGTATATGGTACACTCATACTTTGTTTATATAACTCCATGGTAAATTACACAAGGAATTATGTCAACCCCAACCGAACTTTGAACACAAATGTCTTTTGGTGCTCAATCAATATTTATTTTTTCTATGTGAAAAATCAGAGGGTCCAATATTAACATTATCTTCTACAAAGCAAATTCTGTACTATCAAAACTCCCACTTTTATTGGCTGTGATACGCAAGTAAACATAGCTCACCCAATTCTTTCATATATTCTTGGAAATTTTCACAAGAAACGGATTTCCATGTTCCTTGGAGCTGATCAACCATTCTGTCTGAGATAAGTTGATGTCAAAGAAAAGTAGCTTCATAGGGATATGTATGTTGTTGTTTCCTGCAATAGCAATGAAATCTATTTTTAACACAATTCTGCATAAAAGTGCAATGAGAAAAGTCAGGAGAAAAAATGAGAAACTTTCAATCTTGCAGTTTTCCCTAAGTACCACCAAAAGCAGATAAGCTCTCTTAGTGTAAATTAGTCAGGAAGAAAAGGAAAACACGGTAGAGTGTTTAGCAGGCATAGTTATAACTTTTCCAGCACTAATTTAGGCTCAAAACTAGATGTTACTTCCCTTCCCCAGCACCCGCCACGCACAATGCAATATACAAAGTGGGGGGGTCCTTGGCCCCCTAGGCCGTCCCACGGGACTCTAAGCTCTCATTCTCTACCACGGGTGATGCAGAAAAAAGCCAATTTGTTGGCCTCGTGAAAATCTTATTCCCATTCTTGATGATTTTAACCAGAAACCAGACAGACGTCATAGATGGTATCTGTTATTGAAGTGAAAATTTTGTAAGGGCTGGAAGGACCGTTTTAAGCCATGTGCATATTGAGCAAGAAAAATGGAACAGAGAGTAAAGGAGGAGGTCGTGTCGTATGAATTTTAGAGAGTGATCGTTGCCGCAAGAGCGCCCAAAATCTTCTTAGGAAATCCTCCTTAATTCAGGCTGGTTTCTGTTTCTTTTCGCTTTCACTGACATTCTGACATTCACTAATGTGTGTAAGAAATCAGAACAGGGGACAACAAGGAATATAACAGCAAATACACCAACAAGAGGGCAGCAGACTTCAAACATTAACTTAAAGGACAAACACACCTTTTACAGTGGCCCGAGGGCCTTGTTGTTATTCTAGGCTGTGCTTGATGTCCATGTGTTAACACAGAGTTATTAAGAGAAACGTAAGTTATAAAAACTTTTTAAAACAGGGATATGGACTTTTGCAATAATTCTTATTAAAATGTTAAATTTCCAAATTCCAGGACCGATAGGGGCACTTATCCAGGCCAATAGCCTTACTGATAGTTATTCAAATAACATGTACAGAGCGACTAGTATTACCAACTTAGTACAAGGCTAAGAAGCTATATATACACTATAGATTTAATATCCAGCTGTGACAGGGAAAAATGCCACCCTTTCTCGGTTGGTTTTCCATTCCTGAGTTAGGCAGTGTAACATTATGATTTTTTTTACATTAAAGTATACAAGCTGTAAGGTGATGTCCGTTCAGTTAAACACACATGCGGCTGACGCCTGGAAGTGATCCATCATTGAGGATACTGGGGGCACGAAAATTAGGCACAGGAGGCACGAAAACGCTCAGCATTGTTTAAGAAGGCATTGAAATGTGTTGTCACGAGTGTTGCATGCACACTGATCCTCTGTCACAAGGAGAACCACTGATTCAAAATCAGCTCCTTGAAGAAGGTGTCATGCTGGGAAAGCTCTCGGTCTCTCTAGATGGCCGATCAGACTAGCAGAGGCGGTGTCAGTGGCTAAAGCATGAGGCAGAGCCTGTGTGTGGCTTGTCTCTCAGCCACTGCAGCCCCTCCGTTCAAGTGTCCCTCCTGTCACCTCAGAGACTGGCTAATGTCAACTGGCCTAGACATTTGTCTACTTGGTGACAGTGATTCTTCTGTGATGGGTGTTTTCTGGTGTTCATTAATATGTAAGGAAAAGATCTTCCCACATCGTGCCCACTCCCACCTGTCCACCCACATGCCTTCCCAACAAACATCTTTGTCTGCGATTTTTCAGTCGGTTCCTTCTAGATCCCTGACCAGCTTACCTGACTATTCCCCTGTATCAATGAGCGTATATATATATACGCTCACACACATTACTGTCTCAAGCCACTGCTCCCTCCACACAAAATGGGTAACAGGTGTACATGTGTACACCCTAAGCTTTGTCCACTGAGATGATTTTCCCTCCCCAGTTCCTTAAGCCCCCTCCCACCTCAAGTGTCTTAAAAAGACTGTTTATCTTCTGCTTGCCCCCCCCCCCACTGAACTGACTGACCCTTTGAAGTTGAGGATTTTTCTCCTCCTTTAGCTGATCACGTGGGACACCCATATTGTCCTAGGCATGAGCTGAGGGAAGGGTGCCACCATGGCCTGGTGGCTGACATGGGGATCTGGGCCACCTGTTCAGGCAGTTACCTTATGACTTCCAGTCTTGTTCAGGCTTGATCCTAGGTGCACAATTTCAGTCTTAAGATGGACTGCTGCTGGGTCTGCTGAGGTTATGACTCATGTGTCCAGTAGAACCCAGCTCATAATGGACAGTTCCGGACACATTGTTACTTGGTGTCCTGTAGTCAAGAATTCTGTCAACACAGGGCCCTGGTAACACACCTGGCACTATTTTTTAAAAGGCACATAAGTCTCTGTTGTAGATGGCATGGCCTTGCTCCAGGACCTCCAAAGTCTGTGTTGTGGGGCTTATATATGTGTGTATGTGTCTGTATCTTTTCCTATCACTAACACTTCCAACATGGTAAAGTTTGCCAGTCATAAGCCCTAAGCACCAGGGTAGCTTATACTGCAGCCCTGACTTCCTGAAAATTATTTTCTGCTCCAGGCCCCCCTCAAAGAAGGGAGGCTTTCACATCACCCAGTATGAGGGCTGGACACATTCCTAAATAGGGGCTATGTCACCACAATAGGCAAAGGGTCCTATAAGAATTTTGGTAGAAGAGGCAAAATACAGCAATTGGTCTGAAAAGATATCGTTACAAGCCACAGGACCAAACTGGGCTGCCCCTCCGTCCCCACTTTACAAGGATGGAAGTTTCCTCAATCATCACCAGCCCCGACTCCCGTCCTTGGTACTGTATGTGCCTTACCAAGGCCTCCAGTGTGCGAGCCACTCGTGCTCAGCCTGCCGGATCCACATGATGTTGTGCACATGTTCAGACAGCCCTGATGTCACCAAATTATATTATGACAGAGAGTGGGAGTTAACATAAGCCTGGAACAAAACTTTAAATATACAGAGGATGCCAAAAAATGTATATAGATTTTAAGAAAGGAAAAATCTGTATTAAGATTGTAATACTCAAGTCATGCTTGACGTCTGCAACTGCAAGAGGTTCTCAAGTCTAACTTGCATGTGTCTTTTGTTATTGATATATATTGAGTATTACAATCTTAGTACAGTTTTTCCCTTTCTTAAAATGGGTGACTTTTTTGGCTTTGTACATGCATTTTTGTCTGTTCTGTGTAATGAAATGGTTTCTGATCTTTCCTGATTGGGGATGAAAAGAATGTCAAATGCACATCTTCACACCTAGTACCTGATGCTGTGATAATCTGCACTAGCAAAGGTATCACCTCAAGCACGTTGCTGCAATTGAGGTTGTTAGTTGAGTTTTCAATAGCCTAGAAGTTCTCCAAGATCCATTTCATTTCTGTAGTGAGTGGACTTGTGAATTAATCACTGCTATGATATGGACCACCCCCTCAGTTCTTAAGATCCTTTATAGTAGCCCTAATTTCTGCCATTCTTACAGCAGTATTTTTTGATTCTCCACCTCGCCAGAACTGAAGAAAGGTAGGAGTGTGGGGGTGCAGTTTCATGAGCTTTTGCTTTGCCTTCCCCACTCTGATAAGCCTCCTTTGTTTACAATGAGGATTCAAGATCAAGGTCACTTTGCAGCCAAGTGAGCCACCCTCACTATACATTCAAGGAATGACCTCTGGATGAGTCCGCAGACCTACTGGGCCTACTGAGAGCTTGACTTTGGCCAGAACTCTGTTTATTAACTAGCAACCCCCTCACCACATCACCCCCACACGTCTTCCCTCTTAACATGATACTTTGGAGCTCTGCAGGTCAGTGTTAAGTCAGAATACCCTCAAAATAATCTGGATATTTCTCTTTCCCCATTGCATATATTCTCAAGTAAATGTCAGTAAGCCTCTTTTGAGGAAAGTGGGAATAATCAGCAGTTTTTTTATTTTATTAAATCATAGCTGTGTACATTAATGTAGTCATGGGGTACAATGTGCTGGTTTTATATACAATTTGAAATATTTTCATCAAACTGGTTAACATAGCCTTCACGGCATTTTCTTAGTTATTGTGTTCAGACAGTTATATTCTATATTTAGTAAGTTTCACATGTACCCTTGTAAGATGCACCATAGGTGTGGACCCACCAATTACCCTCCCTCCACCCATCCTTCCCCCTCCCCTCCCCTCCCCTCCCTTTCCCCTTTCCCCATATTCTTGGGCTATAAATTAGTTTCATAGTAGGGCTGAGTACATTGGATACTTTTTCTTCCATTCTTTATCCTGCAGGCCAATAGCATTTGGGTCTGAAACCTGGCTTAGATATGACATCTGGCACAAGGATCACTACTTTCTTTTTATTTTTTAAATTAATTTTATTTTTGGTTAGAGATGGAGCATTGCTAAGTTGCTCAGGCTCTTCTTGAACTTCTGACCTTAAGCAACCCCCACCCCGGCCCTCCTGGCCTCAGCCCCCTGAGTTGCTGGGATTAAAGTCATGTGCCACAGTGCCTCACTAGGACCATCACTTTCTGTAGGGTGACCATTCTTAGCCTGCTGCTCATTCATTCTTGCCTTTCTTTGATGGCACATGGTAGGCAGAACCCTTATTGACTATCCATTTGTTTTATCACTACAGACTCAAAATGTTCTTTTAATCATCTTTATAATCCCCTCCAGGTCAAACCCTCTTAGCTGTGGCTTCAACCTTGCCCCTGCTGTGCTAAGTGCAATGCCCTGGCCTCTAGCAGTCACGTGCTGCCATCTGACCCAAGTTGCTTCAGATTCTCCTCATCCCCCTGACAGTCCATGAGTCAAACTCTATGACAACCCTACAAGAGCAACCCAAAACACATAGTGATACTGTGGCCCCTCTCACCACTGCATTGCTGATGGCTTGGAAACAGTGTATATTCTGGATTCTCTTATGGCATGTAATCATCTGATTGCTCTTCTGTCACAAATGTATATAAACATATACACACACCATATAT